CCATATATAAAACAAAACTGCTAAAAATATGAGTAGATAACAGAAACACAATTATAGTAAAAAAAAAAGTACAGTCCTTACTAGAGCAAATAAATAAAAATAAGCTTATAACTATTTTTAATAATAGAATAAACAACATCCAGATGTCAGATAAGGTCATCTTTCTTAAAAAAATAAAATCGTCAGCAAAATGTTCAATGGTCTCCCCAACACTTCTAGAAAACCCATGTCATTCCATGTCAGGATTTCCTCCAGTCTTGTTCCTGCTCTCTGAACCTCACTGGAGTCTTGCCTTCTGTCTCATTCTCCTTTATCCACTGTGCACAGGTCCAGACATGGAACACAGACCCTCTTCTTCATTTATCTAGCAACTGCTCATAAAGGCCTCTTTTGTTTACTGTCAATTTCATTGAAAATTTGGGCCAATGACAAGAAAATTACTTACAGATACTCAGCAGCCTGTTCTTAAAAGTTCTGAAAAGGAAAAAGGAAAGTGAAGTTGCTCAGCCGTGTCCGACTCTTTGCAACCCCATGGACTGTAGCCTACCAGGCTCCTCTGTCCATTGGATTTTCCAGGCAGGGGTACTGGAGTGGGTTGCCATTTCCTTCTGAGTATTTGGTTATTCCTCTACCATGAATTTCATCCATTTTTCTGAGAAATCTATCTTCTTGCCTGGTTACCTTTTTTTTGGGCCAGGAAAACTGCCCTAACATTTTCCTGTTGCTCTGTTTTCAAGTCCATTCCATTTGACCTCCTCTTAGCAAATAACTTTTGCTCATTTATTTTTTAAATGAGCAATAGCTGCAGTAGATAGCTTGGGTGGACTAGATCAGAAGGGTTATGATATCACTGTAATTTCTCAGACTCCATAGAGCCATGATGCACACAAAAAGTCAATACCGTACTGCAGCCAGCTTGCACTTCCTCACAAGAGCCAAGTATGTGAATCTCTTTTTACACCCCACTCAGTAGGTTGAACTCTGCATAGTGGATATTTACACCCTGAAGTTGGAAAACAGTACAAATATCAATGGTTTTGGTTTGGTTTGATTTAGTTTGGGGTTGGGGGTGGGGTTTCTTGTTTGTTTAGAGAGGCAGTTTGCCAGCACAACACTGAATATATTCTACAAAAATTTGTATTGAACGTGCACATGAAGATTCAGCTATTTTGATTCCTTCCCACATGAACCAGCCTAACCCTCCAGGGCAGTAATAAGAACAGGGAGAGACATTAAGCAACATATTTCCGCTGCTTAGATTTCACACAGACCACAGGAACAGGATACTCTGCCTATTCTAATCCATAACTGTCTCCATGCAACAATGCTGAGTAAAACAACTCAACCAGCATGGATATGCAACTACATGGTAACTTAATTTGTTAATTACACTGGCCTGACTAGAGTTCCAACTTAAGGACAAAGAGGTGTTATTAAACCGCATTCTAAAGAGAGGCTCTGAGGATCGCTCTCTCTCACAAGATCTAATGAGAAGAAGAAGAATCAGGGACTATAACCCCAACCAGGCCCTATCCCCACTTCATATGCCCTTCCCTCCTCACCCTGACCCCATCACCAGTATATGGAGATAACTGGAGATAGAGAAGAGAAGGTTTTGAAGGCACTGAGCTTTGGGGGAATGTAGTTGGTATTCAGGGAAAAAAGTTACTTTCCTAGCTGTCAAGCCAAGATGGCAAGAGGAGATTCCCTTAGAGATTTACTGAATAGAAATTTTTGTCCATCCAAGATGAGCAACTGGCCTTTTATTTGGGGGAATGGCTATCTGCTAAGACTTGCTGACCTGTCCTTGTGAATTAAAGAGAAATGATGTTAGGCTTCCCAGGTGAAGAACCCACCTGTCAATGCAGGAGACACAAGAGACGCAAGTTCAATCCCTGGGTGAGGAAGATCCAATGGCAACCCACTCCAGCATTCTTGCCTGGAAAATCCCATGGACAGAGGAGAGTGCCAGGCTATAGTCCATGGGGTCACAAAGAGTCGGACACGACTGAGTGACTGAGCACACATGATGGCTGGCTAAGAAAGAGGATGACGATGGCGCAGTCAAGCCTCTTATTTGCTGTGCTAAGGCTGTGTGAATTTCTCATTGGTCCAAGGGACACCAGAAAAGGAGCTGATCTTGAGATCTTTTTGCCAGTGCCTCATACAAAGGGCTACCCTCTAGGTTAAGGGGCTCTAGAATGAAGAGGCTGTGTAATATTCCCATGGTGGATGAGAGCTGAGTAGAAGGAATAGAAGTGCTTGTGCCAGAGAAGATGCCCCTTGCCAGAGAAATGAGTCACAGAAAGACCTCACAGGCAAAAACTCATCCATGCCACTCCCTGAGAGATCAATCCTTTTAGCACTCTTCAAAAGAGGCCACCATCGGCACCCTGTTAGGGTTAGCCACAGGGACAGCACAAATCAGCACAAACCAACCAAGGAAGAAGCTCAACCATACCTAATTAAAACAGGTTGACTTTTCAGCCTTCTTCTTGTCCCCAAAGAGAGGAGACTGGATTCTCCACCCAAATTCCCCACCAGCTTCCCACACTGTGATAAGACTCCCTGTTGGTTTCTGCTGGCTTATGCTACTCTTTGGGCAAACACTTACAGGATGCTGATGGTGGCCTCTTTGTGTCAAAGGCATTTAAGGACTTCATCCCTCATGTAGATAGATCTCCTGTGTGAATTACTCACCCCATCCCATGGCCATTCTCTAGCATAGGAGATCAAGCCATACCTCCAGTCTTTTCTGGCGTGTCTTTTTTTTTTTTCCCCATTTATTTATATTAGTTGGAGGCTAATCACTTTACAATATTGTAGTGATTTTTGCCATACATTGATATGAATCAGCCATGGATTTACATGTGTTCCCCATCCTGATCCCCCCTCCTGCCTCCCTTTCCATCTCATCCCTCTGGGTCATCCCAGTGCACCAGCCCCGAGCACTTGTCTCATGCATCTAACCTGGACTGGCGATCTGTTTCACAATTGATAATACACATGTTTCAATGCTATTCTCTCAAATCATCCCACCCTCGCCTTCTCCCACAGAGTCCAAAAGTCTGTTCTATACATCTGTGTCTCTTAATTTCTGTCTTGCATACAGGGTTATTGTTACCATCCTTCTAAATGGCGTGTCTTAATATTACATAAGAGGTCCTCATATATCTCATGTGGCACCTATACTATCATCCCTTGGTGATAACTTTACTATTAGTAGGTTTGTTTCCAAGACTGTGTAAAAGATATTGTATACTACAGAATGAAACACTGCAAAGAACCAAACACTAATTTTATAGGACACAAGTTGGTGCCCACTGGTTTATCTGATTTCACTTAGCTTGTACTTAAGAGTTCTATAGACTGTTATACATCAACGCAAGAATTTTTCACTTCAGATAAAAACCTACTTATTTTTAAAACATTATTTAAACTTAAACACATATTGTCACAAACATTACTTCTCATCATCTTATTTCTCAACAAAGACAAGGTCTTGCTCTAAATTCTCCTTCCCCTCACCCAAGTTGCCAACCCTAAGACTCACTACTGTTTGTTGTCACAGTAATTTAGCTTTCCAAAAGCCCAGAGATTAGACAATACACTCTGATAAGCAAATGACTCAACAATTTCAGTTAAACATTGAAAAATTAGCAGAAGTTTTGAAAATTCAGTCTTTTCTTTCTCATCCAACTCCAAATTATTTTTCCCCAAAACAGATATACATCATTTTTGTCTCCTTTCAGAAAGCAAAGGTAATTATAACTGTTTTGCTTTAAATAAACCCCCTCATCCAATATAATAAGGCATACCAGAGTGTGCAAATGAAAAGACCATAAGCTAAATTTATTCTGTAAACAAAGCTGAGGCTGAGGAAGTGTAGCAGTACAATTTCTTTTCAATATTTGAGTTTATGTCTTGGTATGTGCTCTCCCTGCCACCTCATCAGCACCTAATGAGTTACATCTGGCTGATGAGCACATTCATACAACATACCTGACTTCTCAAGGTAGTCTGTACCAATTGAAACAAATATTGAATACATGGATTCATGAGTGAATGTCTCCTACTAACAGGGAATATGCCTTCTTCTTTTCAAGCAACCATAAAACATTTGTAAATATTATTTCAAGAATGAGAAAACAAACCAACAGAAGATTAGAGACTACCTTAAAACCAATAAAATAAAAAAGATCATAACAGATGAAAAAGAAACATTGAAAACTAATGCATGTGGAGGAATTATCCAAAGATTTTGGGGAAATTATACTTTTGAGGAAGATATTTCGTTGGATCACAATTTCAAATTAAATTCATTAAAATAAATTTCATTTAAAAATGAAAGCAGAAAACAGGAATCGTGACAATTTAACTGATCTCAGAATGGATAAGCACTTCCTAATCATAGATAATGGAAAGACATCATTGAGAAATGTTGTTAAATGTACCTATGTAGAATTTGAAGTCCTCTGCAAAATTCATAAAATTAGACATAAGACGATTCAAATGGAGAAAATCACATATTAATGACAGACATTATTTATATTAATGGCAGATATTTCACATTTGCAATGTGTAAAACTCACTCAATTTGTAAAAGGACTCTTAAACTTTTGAAAATGGACAAAGAATATGAATGGAAAATTCATAGGGACTTCCTTCGTGGCACAGTGGATAGGAATCCGCAGGGGACATAGGTTTGATCCCTGGCCCGGGAAGATTCCACATGCTGTGGAACGACTAAGCCAGTGTGCCGCCACTACCGAGCCTGCACTCAGAGCCCACGAGTCACAGCTGCTGAAAGCTGTGCACCCAGATCCCGCGCTCCGGAACGACAGGAGGCACCGCAAGAAGCCCGACAAAGCAACAGAGAGCAGCCCCGTCTACAGCAACGAGAGGAGGCCTGCACGCAGCGACGAAGACTCAGTGCAAACAGAAAAAGGAAAAAGGAAAATAGAAAATATTTAAGTTATAATATTAAAAAATAGACATACCAACTAAAACGGAGAGCGGTTCTTGATTGTGTTGTCTACTATCCTTTTCTCAAGTTCATAGTGCTGTCAAGAATTATAGTGAGAAGAGTCTCTCACACTCAGCTGGTGGGATAAACTGGTATAAACTGTCTGGAAAATAAGTAGACAATATGAACAAAGATGAGCAAATGTACTGCTATTTAACCTAAAAGAAACAGTCTCAGAAATGAGAATAAAGATTTATATTGAAGAAAGTTCATGACGGGATATACATGGAAACAAATATTGGAAACAACCTAACTTCTAATAATAAAAAATAATTGAATAATTTTTGAAGAAAATTAAATGACATGGTAAATGTTTTAATATAATATTAGGTGTAAATGTACAGGTGTTTGTATATGTCAACTAATAAAAATTCTTAATCAGATTAAACACCACAAACGGGTATACTTGGCACAATTATAAAAGTTTTAGTTTTTCCTAAAAACTGAGCAGTGTTTTCTAGATCTTGTAATAATATGGGTGTATTATAAATATTTTTATAAAGTACTGATTAGGTACTGAGTGTATTTTTTCAATGGTTTGGAAATCACTGATGAAAAGATTTAAATATATAACCTTATATCCCAGTGGGTTTACCACTATATTTCCAGCACAGAGTTTAAATCTATTTACATCAATCTACATTGAGGCATCAACTACAAACCTAAGTGTTAGAGACGAGAAAACGGACAAGGAATTTTCTTGCCTTTACCATTGTCCAATCTAATGAAGAGAGAGAAAAGAAAGTCGGCTATGAGAATACAGGGTGCTAAGGGCTGTAACTTGAGATATTTACAGCATATGGTGCAAGTACAGTTGAAAAACAGTGAATTTAGCCTACAGGTAGGTGCTGGAGAAACTTCCATGAAAAAGGTCACCTTTGATCTGACTCATTTTTCTCCCTCCTCTTCCTTTTTTTCTTCTCCCAGTATGTTAGAGACCAAAGAGATACAGTATAGAGATGGAGTCATGAAATTTGGCAACATAGTCACATTATGAGAGGTTCTTAAAATGAGCTACGGGAAGGCTTATTTATTTTTATTATCTGTAAATTCTAGTACATAATATATAGACAAGGAAAATAATCCCCTAAGGGAAGCACAAGTTGAAGGTGTTAAAGATTTTGCTGCATCTCAGGCATGGAACTGGGATCCTGAGGGGGCAGGATATTCCTCTTCAAGAAAGGTCAGGCTGTTCAGCTGCAAACTGTGTGTGCCACTGACAGCCTCCAACCAGTGACTGCATCAGGGTCTGTCCCAGCTCTCCAGCTCGGTCACTCTTTTCTGAGGGTGGAGGCTCAGTGACTGAACAAGACAGTGATACAGGGACTGGCTATTTCCACCCACTGTGCAAACACTGTACCAGCTAGTCGTTGCTCTAGACCTCTCTGCTGGGCACCACCAGGTTAGCATCGCAGTCTGAGGTCTTCCCCTTGTTCATTTCTGTCTCCATGCCCTACCCTTCCCCAGTCTCTATTTTCACTTTTCAGGGAACCCAATCACCCCAAGGGAGATGTGTTTCAAAGCCCCGAAGAAGCATGAGGGGAGAAAGGGAAAAGGATCAGGGCTAGAGTGAAAATGAAACTGGCCTCTCATGAGATGAACTAGGACAAAAGCAATATAATTTTCGTTCTGGTAATCTCCTCTCAGCTATTGCAGGCATTAATAAAAAAGTGCACAGGGAACAAGTGAGGTGACAATGTATACAGAAATCAGAAAATTAGAATGTTAGGGAACTCTTGCCAATGGGTTGGTTTGCATGAATAAAGAAGAAAAATGTAAGAATTAAAAAGAAAGTTAGAAGCTAGATCATGGAGAATGCTACACCCTGCATCAAATACATGGGCATCTTTCCTTCTAACCTTCTTAAATACCATTTTTTAAACTTCCATACAATGGAATTGCAACATGAAAATCTAGAGTGGAATTTATTGTTGTTGTCATATTTCCAATGAATAAAGTCAAATATCAGAAAGGAAGTATGCACTTTCCAAGGATTGCTAGCATATCTACTTACCCTTATATCTGGCATAATATTTCACAGGTACATATTAAATGATTTATTCCAGTGATCATAAAACAGGTGGTGATTTGAGCACATATAAGATTTAGGTAAGACATGAATTTAAAGCTTTCTATCACCAATGTGCTCTGACAATAACAATTTCTCTGTGATGTGATCTCTGTCAAATCAGTTTCCAAGTGTCTTTACAAAACTATATGAAGCCATCTATCCAAGGAGTTCTTTCCTATGACAAAAGTTTGCCTTTCAGATATGTCACAATCACTTAACCATGACTCAAAAACACTTTGCGTGGACACCTCCATCAAACTGACTGTTGTTTACAAGGCCCTGGAAATGGGCTAGTTTCTCACAGCCTTTACTTCAGTACCATCTATCACACAAGAGAGTAAGTACATAAATCCATTTTGTTCAAGTGTTATAAGGGACAGAAGAACTCAAATAGTCCCGAAGATATTCTCTTAACTGAGTATTTTCCAGTGATATCCTATGGCCCTCACTGGTTGACATTTCCTTATAAAACACTCCTAATACAGATGTCTGTATCCAAGGTAATGACTTAAATGGGCTTAAGCTGAAAATTGCTTGAAAGCAGGGGTTTTGTCTTATTATTCTCTATACCTGTGGTACCTGAGGCAACCAGTAGGTAACAATTTCTGATTTTCATTTCAGCTTTACAAACTAGAAGCAACTCCTCTGAATGTAGAATAACATTCATTGTTCCCATGACCATGCTTATGAGATAAAAATGGAACTATTTTTTTTTAAAAAAAGAGTTTAGCAAATTACATTTTTAGTAACGTTTTTATAAAGTAAATGACGCATAAGAATCCATCTTCAGTGGCTTTCTCTCATCCACTCATACATGGTGAGCGTCTGCAAAGCCTGAGGAGTCACTGGCCTGGCATGAACCTCATAAAGCATGGGTAGCTATCATCTGTAAATATACTGCACTTCCCCATAATTAATTTCCCTAATACTAATGAAAGTTTTGCTGTTCTGCATGTTTATTACCAAACAGGTTTAAAATGTCAGCCTTAATTGATTTTCTACCTAACTCATTTTATAGCAGGTTTTTTGCCTCCAGAAAGATTATCATCAATCTCAACCAATATGAACAACAATAAATAAATAAAAGAAAGAAAACTGATGTGGGTAAGCTTAAACAAAACTGCCAAGGGCAACAAGTCAAAAATGTAAATGACACTTTAGTTGCCTTCCTTTTCTGTTTCTCTGCCCACTTCTCTCCTTTCTCCAAGGGTATCTATGAGGCATACTAAACAGAGAAATGCAGTAGTGCCCTGATTCTTGCTCTTTTGGAGCTTGAGCATGAATCGCAGTTGTGCAAATTTTTCACACGCTTCATCTGAGAGATTAGCTAAAGCAGAGATGTAAAATTTTTAAATAATATTTTTAGGAAAAATAAAGGTAGAATTTTATGTGAAATTTTGTGTGCAAAGAGTCAGACATGACTGAGCGGTGGAACTGAACTGAAAGGTAGAATTTACCCATCTAAATTAATCAGTAGATTATTTGCTATTTTTCTTCATATTCTTTAAGCAACAACATGACAGTTGACTATGAATATGCAGGCTACTTTTGACCAAAATGCAGAATAAAAATCTAGTTCAGATTGAAACGTGAAGTATTTATTTGAGAAATCCTCTTGCTAAATTTACCACAATTTAATGAAAATTGTGACATACACTAGTTTGCCTTTGACATGTTTTCCAATCCAAGAAAGATTCTGCTCCTGTTTTTATCTCCCTTTGATCTTATGTTTTCCTATAACTGAAATAGTATATGCTCTTTAGAAGAAGTTTTACCTGAGAAAGTGCTATGTATCTCTATATTATCTTTTACCAATTATATTGACATATTTATTTGACTCCTCCCCGGAATACAAATGCTTCCATTCAGAAACAGAACCTTGAGCACCAGTGCCTTAAACAGTAAACAGCACATGTTACAGGTTCAAAATATGTTCTTTGTTAAAGTAAGCAAATAAAAAATTTCCACAAATTTACCACTATGAATCATTTACTTATATTTTCTGTTATTTCTTTCAAAATTTTTTACTCTGTTCTTTCTGGATCATTTTCCTAAGTTGGAAAATAATTCTAAAAAAATTTGACACTAGAACTCATATTTAAAAATCCTCAAACAAATAAATTTCAAGTGGTAGAAATGAAGGGCCTATAAAAGGAAGACATTACAGAAAACCAGAGGACTTACTATCATTTCTAAAATTGTGACACCCACCCTTCCACTTCCTTGTTATATTAACCCTCTGCTGCTAACCCTCTGCTCCTTACGGAGCCAAGATTTTCACTATAAGAGAAAAGTGATACAATATATAATTCAGGAAGGTAAGAAAACGTCAGGTAATATTAAATGTGAATTGGAAGTATCAGTATGAGCTCAAGACTTTTTATGTGTTTTCTAGCTCTATCACCGGATCAATGTAGAAACAATGACATCACTTAACAATGAGCACATTTTGTGCCCATATTTTGCATCATAAGCACCATTCTCCATTAAAGGAAACCAGAGAAGCTTGGAGAAATGCTTATTCCAGGAATAAGTCAGGGGAAAAACAAAGTGGAATCTGAGAAATCTTGTTGCACTAGTAAAGAAATAAAAGTGCTCAAAGACTAGTGGAGTGGTATTTTTTATCTGTAGCTGTAAAACAAATCACAAACTTAGAGCCTTAAAACAATACCTATTATCTCCCAGCCTTAAAACTTTAGCCTTTAAAAAAAAAAAAAAAAAACTTAAGCCTTAAAACAATACATATTATCTCCCAGCATTGTGGGTCAGAAATATGCAGGTGGTTTAGGGGGTCTTCAGACTCAGGCTGCAATGAAATTGTCAGCCAGGCTGTAGTCCTCTTGGGTTCATCTAGGAGAGGATTCACTTCTAAACTCACTCATGTGGCTGCTGACAATATTTGTTTCCTCACGGGCTGTTACAAGGAGAGCTTAAGTTCCTTACTGGCTGTTGATCAGAAGGTTCCCTCAATTTCTAGCCATGTAGGTGTCCTTATAGGGAAACTAACAACATTGTGTCTGGCTTCCATTAGTGTTAGCAAACAAAAGAGTCAGAAAGGATACCAAGACAGAAGCCACAGGCTTTTCATAACCCAACCTCAGACATGGCAGACAACCACTTTCGCTCTATCTATTTGTTAGAAGTGAGCCGTTAGGTCCAACCATACTAAACGGAAAGGATTATACAAGGGTATGATTATTAGAAAGCCAGGATCTTTGGGATCCATTCTAATGGCTTTCTATCACACAGATCATGCCAGAGGTCAAAGGAACAAGTTTGAATGTGTTCCAATTGAACTGGCTATTGAGGACAATTTGAACACCAATAAAAACAACTATAATAGTGTATTATGATGCAATGAATTTTTTTAAATACTATGAGTCTATAGCCATTAGAAAAAGTGGAGGAAACATTTTAAGTGAGGGAAATGTACCACTTGGAGTCAGATTGACATTTTAATTGAAAATCTATACTTAAACAAAAAACCTCAAACTATTTTTCACAAATCTATACTTCATCCAGTCTCTATGGAAAGTTTACACATATATTTGAGCCAATAAAAATTTCAGTTCATCTCTCAAAAAAAACAAAAAGAAAAGATAGAAAGATGAAGGGAAAAACAGTCTTGCACAGAAGAAATGATATAATTAGAAAATCACCATTTTGTAAGCCCTGATCCCAAAATAATGAAGGATTCTAGCAAGGATTATCAAAAGGAGCTAAAACCACTGAATGAAATGTAGTCATATAACAACAGACTCAAACAATGCCAAAATGTTATCAGAGGATTAAATATTGGTAGATCAACAATAATTAATATTAATAATAATAGAGTAAATATTAATTAATAAGAGCTAAAAAAGATGCCTTTTTCAACACCAATTCTGATGGCCAGCATCTTAGCCAATCACTAACAATGGACAACTTTATCCTATATGCCTCCTGATATAATATAATGCTAAATATGAATCATTGCCTATGAAATTTTAATGCCATAAATGTTTGAAGTTAATCTAGTCAAGGTTTTAGACCAAACATCCAAATTAGAGGAAAAAACAGGGGAAAAAGGAACAAGTTAAACAAAACCATGAGGAAGCAAGCAGACAAATCTAGGAGGAGTGACATTCAAGAAAAAATTACCCTGGACTTTTCAAAAGTTGCTGGTGTGGGATAAAAGTAAAGAATGGAGGCCTGTTCTAGATAAAACTAAACAGAGATCAAAACCAAATGCAACATGTGAACCCTGATTGTATTGTGCATAGGAAAAAATAAATTGCTTAGTTCTCTGGGGAATATCATCCAAAGAGGTCACAGACATATAGACCTAGGATTAAAATATAGTTTGTTGACTGAAAAGTTTAAATCAGAGAAACAATAGAATGGAATTATTCCCTGTAATTCTTATAATCTCACAATTTAGTTTGTGCACAGTTAACCTCAAAATGCTTGGCCTATGTGCAGTAGAGAGGGGTCTTTCTCTACTGGTAAGGGTATAAACAACTTACAGTGTATAGGCTGGGCAGGGGTAACTATGCAACATGGAAACATCCCAGCATAAGGAAAGGGTCTAATAAGAAATATAGAGCCTCCAGAGTCCAGTGTCTGATATCAGCCTTTTCTCCCATGGAACTAACTTAGACTTACTTAGAAGTTCCTTGCTAAGCTATCACAAAAAATTTCTAGGAACATCAAGGAGAAAACTGGAGGACAACTGGAGAAATTTTAAATGAACTAAATATTAAATTGTTGAGGTGCTATAAATTTTCTTCAGTGTGATAACAGTTTTGTGGTTGTATGTAAGAAAGTCTTTTATTCTTAGAAAGTGCATGCTGAAATATCCACAGGTAAAATTTCATGATTTCTGTACTTATTTTCAAACAGATTTTTTAAAATTAGGTATATGCAGAGATAAACAGAGACTCCAGCACAGACACATACACACATACATACACACACAAAGACAGAGGAAGAGAAAGAGAAAAATAAAATGTGGCAAAAATGTTACCAATCACAGAGAATCTAGGAAAAGGGTATGTAAGTGTTCTTTATGCTATTGTTTGTTCATATTTCTCCTGGTGTCTGAAATTTTCAAAATAAAAACTTGAAG